TGTTCTCTCATAAACCCAATGTACCTTCTTGTATATATATATAATAAATTAATGTTTAAACTACCAACCGCTCTCCCTCTTGTGTGTTAATGGTACCTGGTGACATATTGATACACTGACTGCTTCCTTGGACCTCATGACCGAGTGTCCTTAATTGGCAAGTATTCCTCCTCTAGTAAGTTGAGGTCAATGGTGTACACTACACCCTGTATGGTGTACACTACACCCTGTATGGTGTACACTACACCCTGTATGGTGTACACTACACCCTGTATGGTCTACACTACCCCATGTATGGTGTACACTACACCCTGTATGGTCTACACTACACCCTGTATGGTGTACACTACACCCTGTATGGTGTACACTACACCCTGTATGGTGTACACTACACCCTGTATGGTGTACACTACACCCTGTATGGTGTACACTACACCCTGTATGGTGTACACTACACCCTGTATGGTGTACACTACACCCTGTATGGTGTACACTACACCCTGTATGGTGTACACTACACCCTGTATGGTGTACACTACACCCTGTATGGTGTACACTACACCCTGTATGGTCTACACTACACCCTGTATGGTCTACACTACACCCTGTATGGTCTACACTACACCCTGTATGGTGTACACTACACCCTGTATGGTGTACACTACACCCTGTATGGTGTACACTACACCCTGTATGGTGTACACTACACCCTGTATGGTGTACACTACACCCTGTATGGTGTACACTACACCCTGTATGGTGTACACTACACCCTGTATGGTGTACACTACACCCTGTATGGTGTACACTACACCCTGTATGGTCTACACTACACCCTGTATGGTCTACACTACACCCTGTATGGTCTACACTACACCCTGTATGGTCTACACTACACCCTGTATGGTCTACACTACACCCTGTATGGTCTACACTACACCCTGTATGGTGTACACTACACCCTGTATGGTGTACACTACACCCTGTATGGTCTACACTACACCCTGTATGGTGTACACTACACCCTGTATGGTCTACACCACTGACAAAAAGAACCACTTATTATGTTCCAGCAACAAGGCCAGGATCCTGTGTCCATTAGTCGTGTCTACAAAATATATTAACTATCCTGGAAGTATATTAACATCTAATTCCCCCACGCCTCTTTGTCCAGTTACAGCCCCGCTCCTGTGCCAGGTAAGTCCACTACGGGTTCACCATAGCCCGTGCTGCTTGAAACCTTTTGTTCCCAGTAACTGAATCTAAAACAACAACACTCATGCCTCTTGTTATTAACACAAAAGATTAAAACCAGTGAGTTAAAACAGAGGCGGAAAAGAAACGGGAGAAAAGGAGGAAACCTCACCTAAATTTAAAGCTCTGACCCAAATGACAGTAACAAGGTTATCGCGAATAGCAAGACTCAGTTACGGGTTCACTATAGCCCGTGCTACATGGATACTTCGCTTTAAGTAGCTAAATCTAAAACAACAACAACCTCGCCTTGTTGGAAATAACCAACAGTTTTATACATCTTTGTATTTTATGCAACCTTTGTATTAACCATAAGTAGTTACTAAAATTACTAACTTGTAGATTTAATCATCATCGTGATTTATTTAGACATATTGCCAGATTCTTGCTAGTGAGAGTGACGACGTGAGGAACGACAGGCAGTAACATGAATTCTCTCCACATTTAGTTGGATTTATAACAAGAGTCCAGTTTATCATTTCCTTTACTAAAAATAGTTACTTACTAATAAGTTTAATTTTGTAGTATACTACTACTTACTGGAACTCCCTTATTTAGTTGATATCAAACATTCTAGAGGAAATTACTTTAATGTAAATGATTTTACTTTAATTTCCTCGATTAGCTACACAACTTTAATAAGCCAATTTATGTTACGAGAAATTCTATTTTATCACAGAAGAATTTAATGTGATATTAATACTCGTCACTACCTCTTCCTTTCTTAGTCAATTGCGATATATACATATACATTTACGCTCGAGATGTCTATCGAGAGCCGCGCATGCGCAATAAGGAAGAGGAGGAAGACGGGAGAGCGTCACTAGACACGAGAGAGCACGACGCGGACGCCATTGTCAGCGTGTAGCAGAGCTACGTTTTAATCCCATTTATTTTGCTCCCACGACCAGTAGAGCGGTGCCCCGTTATCTGGCACAGTAGCCGTGTCCCAGACTAGCATATGAGCAATTCCAAAGTCAACGCCTTTCAAGCAGCAGCTGGAGGACGAAGAATTGCTCAAGTCTCCACATCAACGGACACGCGGCTCGGCAGCTAGGTTTACCTTTTTGTTATTATGTGGCCACAATTAACATTTAGGCTAGTTGTCGTTAGGCCGTAGAACAAATAATACAACCCCGTTCGTGTCTTGAGTAATTATACAATCTAAATAGATGATTATTTTCATTATTTCTCTCTAGAAGGAATTACAGTGCTTGAATATAAATTGCACAGATATTGGCTGAAATTTCCTACTATTATCCTCAGAATTTAGGATTTATTTGTAGTTACTTATTATGTAGAAGATTTCTACAATGTAATTGCCTTTCAGTACCAAGGCGACGCCAACCGAGGTGCTAGGCTTCCCACCGTTCCGGGCAACAATTTGCTCTATGCAACACGTCGTCGGTGGAGCGTAGCAACCGATTACACCTCACAAGATTTACAGCTAAGCTGTTCGCTTTTTTATCTGTAGCAATAACTCTGTAGTTACAGTAGTGATCTCTCAAAGAGATCAATTACACTAACCCATTGATTTACTGATGCTGTTCAACATTTCAATAGTATATTGAGGAGCATTTACCTCCAATTAATACTATATAATCAACCTTATTACTTTCATATTTTATTTACTCTGGTGAAGAACCAGCACCAGAATAATGCTAGGGATGTGTTAATCTTTTAGCATGTAACGCCCCCCAATTTTGTGTAAGTTAATTTGACTCCATTGATATCAGAAATACAGTTTCACAAAGATCCATAGGACACTAGTTCTTGGGATCAGTTTTTCCATTGCTTTTATTTTGTTTTCCACTTTTTCTCAAAAAGTGGTGGTCCTTCATAGCTATCGAAGCATATATTTAATTATTAGTTATTGGAGTCAGGTTTTCCCCCACACGCTTCTCCAGCAGTTCCCTGAGCTGGATAACTTTGTACTTCAGCCGTTTGTCTCCTTTGATAATTATTTACTTGTACAACTGCTAAGTAAATCTCAAGGTGGTGGCAGCATTTATAGGTTCACATGTTATATTTCTCTGACAATATCGGTAACATCCATCCACCCCCCTCCCGCCTTCCCTCCCACAACCCATACAAGTCCACTTGATCCAAAATAGAAATTATGTTAATTTCGCTCGCCGCTTCCATTTTCTAGTATGATGATTTCTGGTCGAGTATGCGTCAAAATGGGACGCTCTATTAGGTGGACGGGTTAATCACATATGCATGTAAGTCACACAAATACAATACATATATAACATAATGGGTGAACGTGTGGTAAATGTTAAATACTTACACGTCTGCTGTGCTGCGAGGCACTCGCTAGGGAAACTTGTAAAGTGCTGGTCACACACCCAAGGGTTGCAACAGGTGCTGCTTCCGCCTCCAGACCTCAACACCCACGACACAGCGCACAGTCCGTCCTCCAAACAAAGACCCAAAAGTGATTCCATGCACCCGCCAAACCCTCTGGCGTTTATGAATGGAAAACGGTTTGCACACGACTCACAACTGTTGACGTTCGAACACATCCGGTCAACCCGTTCTCGACTCAAGTCCATTACATCCAGCGGTCGACCCCACAGACGCATTCATAAATATTAACATGTTGTTCATTCAAAACAAGAATTTTCACAAATATAAATTAATATTATAATATATTAGCATATTGTGCACATATAGGCATAGGTTAGGTGTTTAGGTTCGGTTGGCGATTATTTGCATTTGAAGTACGTGGGTGAAGCATTTATAGCGATGTGGTTCGAACAAAAGTCGTCAGTGAATCACTTGTTCCGGAAGTGTTCGAACATCATCAGTTGTGAGTCGTGTGTAACAGCCCGTCCTCCAAACAAAGATCCAAAAGTGATTCCATGCACCCGCCAAACCCCCTGTTTATGAATGAAAAACGGTTTACACACGACTCACAACTGTTGACGTTCGAACACTTCCGGAACAAGTACTTCACTGACGAATTTTGTTCGAATCACAACGCTATAAATGCTTCACCCACGTACTACAAATACAAATAATCGCCAACAGAACCTAAACACCTAACCTAACCTAACCTATGCCTATATATGCACAATATGCTAATATATTATAATATTAATTTATACTTGAGAAAATTTCCGTTTTGAATGAACAGCATATTAAAATTTATGAATGCGTCTGTGGGGTCGACCGCTGGATGTAATGGACTTGAGTCGAGAACGGGTTGACCGGATGTGTTCGAACGTCAACAGTTGTGAGTCGTGTGTAAACCGTTTTCCATTCATAAACACCAGGGGGTTTGGCGGGTGCATGGAATCACTTTTGGGTCTTCGTTTGGAGGACGGGCTGCTTCCATAACAAGTGTTTCACTGATGACTTTTGTTCGAACCACAACGCTGTAAATGCCAGCCCATCCTCCAAAGAAAGACCCAAAAGTTGATCACCCAAAATCTGGAGTATGTAGGAGGGGGTGGCTGGAGTATGTGGGAGGGGGTGACTGGAGTATGTGGGAGGGGGTGACTGGAGTATGTGGGAGGGGGTGACTGGAGTATGTGGGAGGGGGTGACTGGAGTATGTGGGAGAGGCTGACTGGAGTATGTGGGAGGGGGTGACTGGAGTATGTGGGAGGGGGTAACTAGAGTATGTGGGAGAGGGTGACTGGAGTATGTGGGAGGGGGTAACTAGAGTATGTGGGAGAGGGTGACTGGAGTATGTGGGAGGGGGTGACTGGAGTATGAGGGTTAAAACAAATAATTTAATCACACTTATTTCTTTATTTGTATGAAATACAAAATATGTACATTGAGTTTAGTCATTTATATCTGTATAGTGTATACAGGTACAAACTGATCATACACATTATAACAGGGCAAGGTCTGTATATTGAACTTTATATTTGAACAGTTTTCAGAGTTCAAGGTTCCCGAGATTCTATATTCAGAAGATGAACAAAATTAAAGACGCGTTCCCTAAATACAATTATTACTACAATATCCTAATTTATGAGTGTTTCAAGAATGCATTTAATGTCAACAGTATTAGAAAACACAATTCTTTGGATCAGACAGCTGCTCATAGGTGTATCAGCTAAAATAATTAAAATATAGTTTTGGGGTGTGTTCATTATTTTATATATATATATATATATATATATATATATATATATATATATATATATATATATATATATATATATATATATATATATATATATTACACACACAATACAGCATTTAGACAAGGTGAATATATTACTATCTTTGGCTTCGACAATGCATTCTGTCTGGGAAAAATTTAGTCAAGAAAATGTATACCACACAGAACGAAGGACAGATCATCGGGACAACTGGGGGAAAAGGCGGACCTGTTGACAAGCCGCCGGCTTCTTGTCCTCGTCGAGGCCACTAGAGAGATAATGGCCATCAGGTAAATGCAGGTAAACATCTTTCATGCTCGCGCGTACACAAGTTACAGCAGCATGAACAGTAAAAAAAATAAAACTTAAAAAGGAGTACCTTACGCTGACAATCTGGTCAATTTAAGGTAACTAGACGATTCAACAACGTTGATATTGCACATGCTAGTTATCAGAGAAAGGTGAACCTGCCGTAACGCTGCACAGGATTAATATCGTTTTCAGGTGGCCGAGGTGTGCCCATAATCCCACTCGCAGACATACCAAATGTTTATGCTAAAGCTTCCAAATATTCCAATTACTTAAGCCAAAATTTAATTGCTGCTCTATGTCGTTTGAGAAATATCCAACACTTTGAATATTAGTAAAGTATAAGGAATAACTGTTCTGGATTTCTAATGGTAACAAATAATCTGGTGGATCAATAATGCGATAGATTCAGCACCTTCTCAAGCGCACCATATGTGATAGTGTTTACTTGGTCTGAATGGCATGAACAACACTCGTATCGGTCTTCCATCAGTCAACATCTTCCTCAACCCAGGCAATGATCTTCCCATCAACTCCAGGCAAAATGTCATCCTCATTCACAATCTGCAAAGACAGAATAATACCAGTCATCCTCATTGTCCTATTCCAAGAGGAAGAAGGGAAGAAACTTGCACAAAAAACATATTCGAGCAACAGAGTAAAATACGGATAAAGATATTTAATAAATCAATAGGACATCTATCTATTCACAAAACAATACTTTCCAGATGCGACTTGACTGAGATCCAGAAAGTCCACTGTGTCCAGGGTCATCTGTGTCCTCAGGGTTCCTCCCTGTCTGGTATATTAGACAGTGACTTGAATGGTCGCCGGCAGTGTAACTCATTTGCAATGATTGCCAGTTACCATTAATTATCTTCTCAGACAGAGGGCCATCTTTTATCAGTGAATTCGATAATGTGATGCTCCGCAACTATAAACCTTTATCTGTGGCGCCTGTTCCTCCTGAAGCCTAAACAACAAGTTTTTAAACGGTTCTAGATTCATTTTTTTAATGCCTTTCTGAGGATTGATTTTCTTCACTAATATTTGAATCTTAAGCACCGCCTGTCCTCATAAAATGTTGCCCTAGTGCTCGTTAAGCCTCTGCCGTTCCATCCCCACAATGTTTGAACGAAAAACATTTTTCACGGGATTCCTGTGTTCGAACCTTTGTCGAACACTGCTCGCTATCTATGTTCGAATCGTAACTCTAAATGTTTCACCCACAAGCCGCAAATACATATAATTGCTAACAGAATCAAAATGCCTAACCTAATGTAGGTAACATTGGCATAGATATCTGCTGAATAATTGGCTTTGATTTAAATATGACACTTGAGGCTCTCTAGTGAAGGGGCTCCCCAACCAAACTGTCAGTCGCAGGACTACAAAGAACTCTCTAAGCTCGGTTACACTGTGCTGTTCTATACAGCACAGAGTTTTAGATTCGTATTTCTTGTATGGTATTCTTGTAACATGTAAATATAAGTTGATGTAAGAACGAAATATTTCTTAAGTCATAAGAATAGTTACCTGCAGAGGACATATTCGTCGACGCAAGGCAGTAGCAATTTATACCAAGCATACCAACTCGTAAGTTTAACATACAGTTGCAATAATCCAGCGTCCCCGCGTCGATTATGGTGCCCAGTAGCCTTTTCCATAAATTTATAACAAACACAAAATTATGTAGAACCGAAGGTCTGTTGGTCCATACTAGACATGGTCCCTCTAAATGACTTCACCTATCTTCTATTTTTGATGCCTGTTAAACTGTTTATGTTAAGATATTGATAACTGGCAGCCTATTTCACTCATCCTTAACTCTATCCCCCAAGCCAGTGCATCTCTACATCCATCCTTAATCAAAATGTATCCATCTTATGCTCGTTGATGAGGGATGTGACCTGGTCCAGCAGTTTCAGAATCATTTTTATATTACTCTTGTTTATTGATTTAATTTATTTTTCTGAATCGAATCGTATTCCATTTCTTTTCATTGTTTCGTTTACTATTTTTTATACTGATATATTTACCATGCTTTTAATATTTCCCTATTTATTCATTTGAATACTTCGGCTATGTCAATGCTTACTCCCTTCCTCAGGTTAGTTTCTAATGTCGAGAATTAACTTTGGCATCCTTCTTTGTACACTTTAAAGGGAATTTATGTAGTGTTTAAAATTAATAAAATAATATATTATATATATATATATATATATATATATATATATATATATATATATATATATATATATATATATATATATATATATATATATATAACTGAAAACTCACACCCCAGAAGTGACTCGAACCCATACTCCCAGAAGCAACGCAACTGGTATGTACAAGACGCCTTAATCCACTTGACCATCACGACCGGACATAATGAGGTGATAGCCGAGGCTATTTGAACCACCCCACCGCCGGCACTCGGATAGTTATCTTGGGCATAGCATTTTACCAAATCACCTCATTCTTAGGGGCACACGTGAGGAACACAAATGCGAACAAGCCAGAATGGTCCCCTGGACAATATGCAACTGAAAACTCACACCCCAGAAGTGACTCGAACCCATACTCCCAGAAGCAACGCAACTGGTATGTACAAGACGCCTTAATCCACTTGACCATCACGACCGGACATAATGAGGTGATAGCCGAGGCTATTTGAACCACCCCACCGCCGGCACTCGTGATAGCCTCGGCTATCACCTCATTATGTCCGGTCGTGATGGTCAAGTGGATTAAGGCGTCTTGTACATACCAGTTGCGTTGCTTCTGGGAGTATGGGTTCGAGTCACTTCTGGGGTGTGAGTTTTCAGTTGCATATTGTCCAGGGGACCATTCTGGCTTGTTCGCATTTGTGTTCCTCACGTGTGCCCCTAAGAATGAGGTGATTTGGTAAAATGCTATGCCCAAGATAACTATCCGAGTGCCGGCGGTGGGGTGGTTCAAATAGCCTCGGCTATCACCTCATTATGTCCGGTCGTGATGGTCAAGTGGATTAAGGCGTCTTGTACATACCAGTTGCGTTGCTTCTGGGAGTATGGGTTCGAGTCACTTCTGGGGTGTGAGTTTTCAGTTGCATATTGTCCAGGGGACCATTCTGGCTTGTTCGCATTTGTGTTCCTCACGTGTGCCCCTAAGAATGAGGTGATTTGGTAAAATGCTATGCCCAAGATAACTATCCGAGTGCCGGCGGTGGGGTGGTTCAAATAGCCTCGGCTATCACCTCATTATGTCCGGTCGTGATGGTCAAGTGGATTAAGGCGTCTTGTACATACCAGTTGCGTTGCTTCTGGGAGTATGGGTTCGAATCACTTCTGGGGTGTGAGTTTTCAGTTGCATATTGTCCAGGGGACCATTCTGGCTTGTTCGCATATATATATATATATATATATATATATATATATATATATATATATATATATATATATATATATATATATATATATATATATATATATATATATATATTACCTGAAAGCCACTATCTCTCTAGTGGCCTCGACGAGGATAGGAAGTCGGCGGCGGAAGTCGGCAGGCCCCCCCCCCATTTGTCCTGATTCTATCGAGCTGGATTTTGAAATTCAGAAGCGTTTTGGCAGTTACGGCTTCAGCGGGTAATTTCTCTTGGACGAAGTGTTATGGAAACCAAAGGTCTTCCATCATCAACACGGTGTCAACAAATACAAGGAAAGTGTTCTGCCGAAACCCATTTATCTAATCATTTTTGGCTATTAATGTCAGTAGATAGGGCGAGCCTAGAATGCAAACAGCCTCTTAAAAAAAGGTAATTAAACCTTGATCTTTCTGATTCATTGTACAGTGCTTTCTCTGATATAGCTGTCATATATTAGGATTCTGGCTTCATAGCTAGCGCCCTTTTGACAGGTCAAGAAGAGGAAGCATGCTTTGTGTACCAGTTACTGGGTGATGGAAGCTACCTCAAAGAGGATAATTTGGTGTCTACATCCTAGTTATATCTGGTGGACTAAGCCTGCTGTACAATAAGATAAGGAACCTTTTCAATGATTACTAATATATGTAGTTTAATACTGTAGTTTGATTGGCTGCATATATATAAATTCAATATAACCCCCCCCCCTAATGTGTAGAGAATCGATTTGTGAGATTATTGCAGAAATACAGTCCACTTAACATCATACCAATTGCTATTGAAATATATAAATTAATGTAAATATAAATTCTATATAAATTCATATAAATTAAATAAATATAAATCTCACAGGTCGGTTCCCACACACGGGTTTATAACCCTGCGAGTTAAAAGCATCTCCCGTTTTCAGTCCAACACTGTGGCTTGTTGAGCTCGAAACCGTTGCTCCTTGTTAGTGTTACATCTGACTTTTTGAAGAAGTGGTGTGGATCAACATCCTCCAAATTGTCCAGTATTTTGAATTCCGATGAGATTAGCCCTGTAATGTCTGGTTTGTAGCGTTGTTAGCCCTGTGGCCCTCAACCGTTCCTGGTGCGATTGTCGACTTAGTTCAGGAATGATTTTAGTCGCCCGGCATTAAACTTTCTCCAAAGCAAATATGTCTTTGTGAAGATAAGGTCTCCATGCTTGGATGCAATATTCCAAGTGTAAGGGATTTTGAAAGTGTGTGAAAAAGGGATTTTCACAGTTGTATAACTTCCTTATTTTCCTTTAAATCAAAATTTTGTTTGATTATTCCTAGGACTTGGTTTTCGTTCTTAGCTGCAGCTCCCATTTGTTGTGCAACTTCAAGTGACTGGTGGACTCTGACCCCGAGGCCCTTTTCTTTATCTATGTGCTACAAAGTTATGTTGTTGACTTGGTAGTTGCTTTATTGTTTTTTTGCCTTATTTCGAACATTTATATATGTATTTTGCTGCTTAAGATTCCTACTAATTACAACTATTAGATTTTTATACATTCCACTTTGGCAATTTCAACACTTTTCAGTTGATATCTGGTAATTCTTATTATTTGCTGGCCTCAGAACCTGACATATGTCAACATATCTGCCAACTTTCAATTTTATAAGTAAATCTAAATCATCCTTTGGCAATTTTGAATCCTCATCTATATTTCATTTTCTGTTCAATCGTGTCCAAGTGTCTTACAAATACGGTGCACAAGACAAGTCCGTGGACAGAGCCCCGAGGCACTCCACCTGTCAGTTCCCCCTCGCGTTTAACTCCACATATATTGACTATTTCGTCTGAAATAACAATGCCCTAATTCACTTTAAGATATCATCTCCAATACCTTGTACCTCCACCTTTCTAATCTCTCTTTCACAAGTTACATTATCAAATCCTTTGCTAAAGTTAAGGAATATGTTATTCAAATCTTATACGTTACCGTAGGCTTCAAATATTCTGGGGAGAAAAAAGAAGAAAATTTGAAATATAAATGACCCTTAGTAAAGCCAAGCTCTAAGTCCATTCAAGATTATATTAATGGCTCTATTGATAATCTGTTAAAACAATTTTCCCTCAGTGCACATGTAAAAATATAGGTACCCCATCTTTTATTTTATTATATATGTAATACAAAGATTGATATGCTCGTATTTCCATTCATTTTGTTTTTTTTAGAGCGTCCTTAATATGTAAACATTAATGTAATAACTTGTCATCAATTGCTGTGCTTTGTTCAACTGCATTCATAATTTAGTTTTTGATTAGTAACTACCAAGATAAAGTATTTATTACCCGTTTATCACCAGTTACTTGACCTGTCTCACATTTCATGACCCTGATTGTAGCATTTAAGGATTTTTGTTTAATATAAAAACTAGATAAATTAACAAAATTAAATGGGCCAAAACTTCTTTAATACTAAAAAAAAAAAATTGGTCCAAGTGTCTAAACTTTCTCCATCAGAACGCGTTAAATATTGCATTCCACAAATACAGTAATTTCATGTTTACTGTGAAACTGATATCAAATTTGATCCTACTGAAATTGACTCCCTGAATTAAGAACGAGAACTTAGACAAATATAATCTGCAGAAGGCGTGAAGCCATAAGGTAGAGTGGAGGGTACCCACCTCCTCCTTCACCAAGCCATACTCGGGGTCATAGCTCTTGAAGTGGAAGCGGAAGAGGCCAGGTCTGTCGAACATGTTCTTGAAGTCCCGCAGCCGTATCTCGCCCAGTCTCTTGTTGATAGTAGACATGAAGGGGGTCACTGTCCGCTCAGTGAAGTAGATCACCTTGGTTGATACCTCAACCACGCCTGCATATACACAGTAAATTGTTGAAACTGTCGACGTGGAGTGTAAACAATTGACGAAACTGTGGCCGTAGAGTGTAAAAATTGATGAAACTGGGGCCGTAGAGTGTAAAAATTGATGAAACTGTGAACGTAGAGTGTAAAAATTTATGAAACTCTGGACGTGGAGCGTAAAAATTGATGAAACTGTGGACGTGGAGTGTAAAAATTGATGAAACTGTGGACGTGGAGCGTAAAAATTGATGAAACTGTGGCCGTAGATTGTAAAAATTGATGAAACTGTGGCCGTAGATTGTAAAAATTGATGAAACTGTGGACGTAGATTGTAAAAATTGATGAAACTGTGAACGTAGATAGTAAAAATTTATGAAACTGTGGACGTAGATTGTAAAAATTGATGAAACTGTGGACGTAGATTGTAAAAATTGATGAAACTGTGGCCGTAGATTGTAAAAATTAATGAAACTGTGAACGTAGATAGTAAAAATTTATGAAACTGTGGCCGTAGATAGTAAAAATTGATGAAACTGTGAACGTAGATAGTAAAAATTTATGAAACTGTGGACGTGGAGTGTAAAAATTGATGAAACTGTGGACGTAGAATATAAAAACAGGCATCGTGGGGTCCGAGTGTGTGATTTAATCAATGGACTCTTCGAAGTCTGGCCTTAAGTGCATCAGTCACTTAATTCTCCACTTTACGTGGATTCTACTTCATGTTAGTCTCTGGATACATGATAGAACTGATGAATATGTCTTCAAGGGAGTTGACTATATCCTTAGTCTGTCTGAGATCCCACAGAACAATCATACATCAAGCCCAGATGTACATTGTCAGCCCGTGACCAGATGTGCATTGTCAGCCCGTGACCAGATGTACATTGTCAGCCCGTGACCAGATGTACATTGTCAGCCCGTGAGCAGCTGTACACGGTCAGCCCGTGACCAGATGTACATTGTCAGCCCGTGACCAGATGTACACTGTCAGCCCGTGAGCAGCTGTACACGGTCAGCCCGTGACCAGATGTACATTGTCAGCCCGTGACCAGATGTACATTGTCAGCCCGTGACCAGATGTACATTGTCAGCCCGTGACCAGATGTACACTGTCAGCCCGTGAGCAGATGTACACTGTCAGCCCGTGACCAAAACAATGATAAACTATCAGAGATGTTATGCAAGTGTGCCAGGTATGGGCACTGTGGGGTGCCTGCTCCAGCCTCACCCTTCCACCGCTGCACGTGGCTGGAGTGTGGGTGCATGTAGGCAATTTTACATTATATGTAATTAGCTCATCACGGCTGAAAAAATAGTTTAGTACATGGGTGTGATTGATAAAGATTAAGACACCCTAAAGGTGGCACGGGCATGAATAGCCCGTAATACTTGGATATACCTTGTAACTAACCATTCTGCGAATTACCTACAGGATGTGTATGGGGACCTTAATAAACTAACTGAACTACAATTAGCAAGTAAGTCAAGTAATACTAAATCAGTTTGTTAACAAAGTTGTTACAGGCTGTATACGCGCTGCGGGCCATGTTATACACACTGCAGGCCATGTTATACACACTGCGGGCCATGTTATACACACTGCGGGCCATGTTATACACACTGCAGGCCATGTTATACACACTGCGGGCCATGTTATACACACTGCAGGCCATGTTATACACACTGCAGGCCATGTTATCAGGACAATATTACCGATCATAAGTTGGCCTTACTATAGAGCAGACACAAGGGGTGGGGAAGGCCATACCGTTGAGAGGAAGCCGCTTGTCTCCAGGCCGGGAGGTCTTGTCTGGGCTGCCACCAACACTGCCAGTTCCTCCACCACTGCCACCACCACCACCACTACCACCACCACTGCCACGCTCTATTAGGATAGCAATGGCTTGTTCCAGGGTGTCGAGTGTGTGCTGGTTGGGATCCGTTTCTCTAGAATGGTATTAATAGCAACGGTCAAACATCAATCATGACTCACTGTGGCACTTGCCAGCACAGGAGAGGGCAAAGTTTATTAAGCGTTCAGGTTATGTGGTTCACCTTACCAGACTTACCATAGTATATGGGGAAGGAAACATGGTGGATTTAACGAGGCCCCAACTGGCCAGGGGTCTCCAAACTTTGCAATACGAGAGTAACATTATATAATTTACACATTTTCGCGGGCCAAGGACAACAAATCAGTTTCATAAGTGACTGGACAAATCTCATTTAGACATTTTCTGTGGGAGGAAATCAGCATGATATGATTCGGAACAAAACAGAAGGGTAACATTTACAGAAAAAATTGCCGAGCATCTTTTACCCAGCAGAGGCGAGGTTAACACTGAAGGACTATGGTTTGAGGCTGGTGGAGCCTGTGGTCCCCTTGGCTGTGTGAGGGCTCGCCAGGCCCCCGGCTTGGTGCCACACCGCAGCACATCCTCCTGTATACGTAGTACTTATAGTAACCGTGTGCACCATAGTACAAACACTGACGTACTTACCAATTAGATAGTAGAATTTTGTACCATTCACTTTTCCGGACTTTTATCCAGTCCGAAAAAATAAGGCTTAAAAACAAACTGAAATATTGCTAGGCTTAGTATAGCACAGTGATGTACTATATTAGGCCTCAGCTAGCGTGTATTAGGTCAAGGAAGGTTAGGTTAGGTTACTTTAGGTTGTCTTCCGAACATAAGTTGAAAATATTTTCCGGTTTATCCAATTTCAACATGTCCGATCTCTACTTTCTAGTTGTGTTGTACGTCGGTATATGTACTATGTTCCTGGTCGTTACTCTAAGCACTACCAGGACAGGAGGACGGGCTGCACACGGAGAGGAGCGCCGTCGACACGGACGGAACGCCCCCACTTCCAATTAAGTGATACATAAAAAAAATGGAAAATCATTAATGTTATTATTTATATATATTTCAAGCTGCTGCGGGCGGATCAACTCATGCGGCGGGACATAGTTGGAAGAGCCTTGTTATAGGCTAACTACTCAACTTACTAAGGAAGCAGCCCACAACAGCTGCCCAACTCCCAGATACCTATTTACTGCTAGGCGAACAGAGGCATCAAGTGAAAGAAAACGTTGGCCAAACGCTTCTGTCTTGCCGCGGGAATCCAACCCGGAACATTAGGGTTGTGACGAGGCTGGGCTTACCACTAAACGACAATAGTGCGACACAACGGACTGCCACTACGGTCCCCGTGACCCTCCAGCTGTATTCAATAAGCAATTTAAATTAAGAAGAACTCAAAAATAATTGTGACTTCGGGTACAAATTAGTAAATGTGATTTTATTGATTAGAAAAATATGTTTCAGCTGTTTATAGTTGCAGCCTATGGACTCCAAGTCTTCATTGAAATATTCCGTTATTCGTAGCGTCATAGTGGCTGTCGTGCCTCAAGACGCATGCAATACCTCTTTCTACCAGTCTCATTGCACACAGGAACCCGTAGGCATGCTCCTTGCATGTTGCAGCCTACACCTTGTAGCCCACACCTTGCAACTGGTTCTTCAGGATGAAAATACACCGACAATGATTGTGGCACCTGAAGCCATTTCGTTAATGTAGTTCTCTCACCTGAAGTTGCTCCTGAGGGAGACGATGGCATCCCTCACGAGGTGGAGATCTTCCTTAGTGGCTGAGGACACGCCGAGGCGACCAGCCGGAGAGTCGCCGCGACCAACCACCCTCTTCCCGTTCTGTGGACACCAGGTCGTTATCATTGGCTAACTCAAAACCTAATCATTCCCATTAAATAAATAGACAAACAATTAAAGTAACAAAGGTTTATGAAACTAAAAGTGCTGCTGTACTTTTGAAGAACAGGATAATACAAACTACCACCTATCACAGCTAATATGATATCTGATTGGTTGAAGTACACGAGCACATCCTGGACACCCAGCTTCCAGGTTGAAGTACACGAGCACATCCTGGACACCCAGCTTCCAGGTTGAAGTACACGAGCACATCCTGGACACCCAGCTTCCAGGGTGAAGTACACGAGCACGTCCTGGACACCCAGCTTCCAGGGTGAAGTACACGAGCACATCCTGGACACCCAGCTTCCCTGGACACCCAGCTTCCAGGGTGAAGTACACGAGCACGTCCTGGACACCCAGCTTCCAGGGTGAAGTACACGAGCACATCCTGGACACCCAGCTTCCTGGGTGAAGTACACGAGCACATCCTGGACACGAGGCTTGGTCAGAGCGCCGTGTACCCCTGCAGGCTACTTGGTAACACACTCTAGGGTGTGTGTATTCACCTAGTTGTGTTTTCGGGGGTTGAGCTTTGCTCTTTCGGCCCGCCTCTCAACTGTCAATCAACTGTTTACTAACTACTTTTTTTTCCACACCACACCACACCACACACACACACACACAGTGTGTGTGTGTGTGTGTGGCGCTCTACAGTCCTGGCGCCACATACATTTGTGACTAATTACTTACCAATCCATATTAATGACTACGATATATATATATATATATATATATATATATATATATATATATATATATATATATTATTAAATATGACCGAAAAAGTAAGATTAATAATTCTAACACGAATTTTCTCAATCTGTCGTACATTTCTTTTCACTGTTGGTGGTAATTCAAAAATCAATTCTCCAAAATTCATTTTTATTTCTAGTCTGACGCGACACTTGAGCGCGTTTCGTAAAACTTATTACATTTTCAAAGACTTTAGTTTACACATACACAACTGAATAGAACTTACACATCTCCGATTTGTTTATATCTACATTTGAGTGAGGTGGATGGGGTGAGGTGGTATTTAATAGGGTATTAAATTCATCAACACAAGACAGAACACGAAACAATGGGTATTGAATGGAAGTGATTGTAGAAAGCCTATTGGTCCATATTTCTTGATGCTTCTATATTTGAGCGGAGTCTTGAGGTGGGTAGAATTCTACCCACATTCTACCCACCTCAAGACTCCGCTCCAATATAGAAGCATCAAGAAATATGGACCAATAGGCTTTCTACAATCACTTCCATTCAATACCCATTGTTTCGTGTTCTGTCTTGTGTTGATGAATTTAATACCCTATTAAATACCACCTCACCCCATCCACCTCACTCAAATGTAGATATAAACAAATCGGAGATGTGTAAGTTCTATTCAGTTGTGTATGTGTAAACTAAAGTCTTTGAAAATGTAATAAGTTTTACGAAACGCGCTCAAGTGTCGCGTCAGACTAGAAATAAAAATGAATTTTGGAGAATTGATTTTTGAATTACCACCAACAGTGAAAAGAAATGTACGACAGATTGAGAAAATTCGTGTTAGAATTATTAATCTTACTTTTTCGGTCATATTTAATAATATATGTCTACAGGAAAGACTGCTACCAAAATATACTAATATATATATATATATATATATATATATATATATATATATATATATATATATATATATATATATATATATATATATATATATATATATACAGGGTGTTCGTATGAAACCTTTACGAAACTTTGTCTCAGTTACACGTAAAATTTAAATAAATTAATGTTTAATTTAAAAAATTCAATATACATGTTGTACCCCCCATGTTGAATTTGTATTTGTGAAAAATTATTAATTAATTCTGTTGGCCGTCAGTATTGCCAGTTGCAGGTAACACTGCGGGCCCGAGTACAGTCCCCGCTGGCCCCGTCACCTTCAGGACCGACAACTGTAAACTTCCTCCCCTGCCTCCAGCCCCACTCTGGCTGGCCTGTAGTACTATACACACTATTTATATACATACTTATATGCGTTCACGTATCACGCCTCTGTCTTAAACGCCAGGGAAGGCGATGTTTCGAGCGGCCGCCATGATGAAAATGTCGGTTAAACAGGTACTGCCCCACACCCCCCCTTCAAGAGGGGGGAGCTGACCCCCCCCCCCCTTCAAGAGGGGAGCTGCCCCCCCCCCTTCAATATAGGGGAGCTGACCCCCCCTTCAAGATAGGGGAGCTGACCCCCCCTTCAAGAGGGGGGAGCTGACCCCCCCTTCAAGAGGGGGGAGATGACCCCCACCACCTGTGCCTTGTATTACGGCTGTGTCGATCCCCGACCATCCAAGTGGTTGGGCACTATTCCTTCCCCCCGTCCCATCCCAAATCCTTATCCTGACCCCTTCCAAGTGCTATATAGTCGTAATGACTTGGCGCTTTATCCTGATAGTTCCCTTTCCTTCCCCTTCCCTCCCCCGACCTGTATTACGGCAGTAACCCCTCCCCCCCACGACCTGCTGCTTGAGACACAGCTGGAGCCTGCAGCAGGTACAGGGCGGACACCTGCAGCAGGTGACCCCTTGCTTGTGGTGGCGGAGGCCCCACATCCCCGCACCTGTACCTGTAGCTACCTGTAGCTACCTGTAGCTACCTGTAGCTACCTGTACCGACAGGTGCGGCGATGACAGCAGAAGGAGGTTGTTGACGTAATGCCGACTAGGCAGATTTGTTTACGTTTTGCGAACACAAGAAGGACCTGGGAGTACAACACAACAAGGACCTGGGAGTACAACACAAGAAGGACCTGGGAGTACAACACAACAAGGACCTGGGAGTACAACACAACAAGGACCTGAGAGTACAACACAACAAGGACTTGGGAGTACAACACAACAAGGACCTGGGAGTACAACACAACAAGGACCTGAGAGTACAACACAACAAGGACCTGAGAGTACAACACAACAAGGACCTGAGAGTACAACACAACAAGGACCTGAGAGTACAACACAACAAGGACTTGGGAGTACAACACAACAAGGACCTGGGAGTACAACACAACAAGGACCTGAGAGTACAACACAACAAGGACCTGAGAGTACAACACAACAAGGACCTGAGAGTACAACACAACAAGGACCTGAGAGTACAACACAACAAGGACCGGAGAGTACACGCCGACCTGCATGAAGCGAGACCGTCGCTCTATCGTCCACCCTAAATGGTTAGATACAGTAGGCGTTAAAATAATTGCAACGCGAGCACCCGCTACGGACGGACCTACACCCCCCCTCTCCCCTTCTCTCTCTCTCTCTCCCTCCCTCTCCCTCCCTCTCCCTCTCTCTCCCTCCCCCTCTCTCCCTCCCTCTCTCTCCCTCCCTCTCTCTCTCTCTCTCTCTCTCTCTCTCTCTCTACTCTAGGCGAGGCACACTACCATAGAAGGTGGGCCCCACTCTCTCCCTGAGAATACTCTGGAGAAGGGGCCCTTCTTAGGTAATGAGCATTGCTAGGCAGAAGCCACTCCGCCAGACATCGAGACCTCTGCACTAAACTGTTCTCCTGATAATTCGAGCCGTAGAGGCGTTGCCAGTCAATAATAATATACAAAGTGAAAGTGAAAGTGCGACTCCTCGCAGCCTGCAAGCGCTCTGAGCGTGAAACTGTAGTGGGCATTGATAAGGCAACATCAGTTAGATCAGTAGATGTCCACGTACACGACAACGAGGCCATGGTTATTGTGGCTAATTAAGATGATCTGCTGAAGATCTTGGATCCATAACACCGAGTCCCTCTATTAGAGGAGAATATTGCACAGATTCCTCCCGGACAAATCACGGCTGAAAGAACTATTTTTGTGGAATGGGCTCAACTGCTGGCAGTGAAGAAAGGTTTCAACTGCTTTGGAATCAGCTCCTCACCGAACCAGAATGCCATGGAGAAGGTCTACAATGTCAGACAATGCTACAGGTACTTCAGTTACGAGCACTTCTCTAATAAGTGCAACAAACCTCTCCTCTTAAAAATTATGTCGCTTTTTGCCGTTTTCCTGTATGGCCGATAATGGACGTAATTTCAAAAAGAAAAAAAATTGAAAATAAATTTTGAATTTTTTTTTCCAAAAATAGTAAGTTAAGGGTCCTCTGATAGGTTAGGTGGGCAGGAAATTCTCCTTAAGTTTCAAAACGTCATGAAAAATTTTATTTGAAAGTTTCCTCTCCAAACCTTTCCGAGTAAGCCAGAGGACTCAAACAGAAAATGTGAAAGTACATCACTTTTGTGAGCCGATTTCATTTAAAATTACGTCCATTTTTGGCCATAGCGCGCATACGAATGAAAATCAACGTTATTTTTAAGAGGACGACCTGCATGATCGGGCACCCACAACTTCAAGGCATGTACCGCCACCACAAACAATGCGCGAACTATGGAGAACAGTACGCCGCCACCTCCTACCTCGGCAATAAAAGGAAGGAGGAACTTAAGAAACTCAATGAAAAGGCAACCACCCCCACCTCCACCGAACACCATCCGACAGACTGTCACGCCCCTTCCCCAACCTCCCTTCAACAAGTCAGACACAGAAAACATCAGTATGGACCGGGAGACCACAAGAACCTCAACAAGACACAGTGTCTTCAGGAACGACTCACATCCACCCAAAATATCCATATTCAAGTTATTATCGCATATGCGAACAGTGTCGCACAAGACCATAGCCTGTTCCTCAGAGCAGTGAATGACCTACTGCTAGCAAACTGTATCACACCAGTTCAAATGTCAGCGACGAACCACACAGTCTCAACTACCCAGACCGACAGAGTAGGACACGATGGTACACCCAGTGGACAAGACCGAAGCGGACACCCAGAAGGAGGCTTCACGAACGATTGCGACTGCATACACCCAGACGAGCTGACAGCGGTTCCCAACAAAAACACATCAGGATTACTGTCGACATACGACAATGAAGAACATGCATCTTCAGGCGAACATGTTGAAGTCGGTGATCATTCCAGCTAAGAAAACTTGAGGCTTGAGGTAGCTCCCACGCCGTCTCCAAACGCAGCGGTTGCTCCACAGTAAATTCCTGGCCCACCAAGGCACGCCCTGCGTACTGGACAAGATCGCAAATACACTTACAGCTTGGGCCAGATGAGCTCTATATATATTCCGCCTGAATTGCTGGAAGAAACCCCCCATCACGGCACCCCCGACATCCCAATACAGACAAGAAGCAATAACAACAAATCAAAGAACAAGATAAAATACATACCTGGAAGGCTCCTCGAGACAGTGATGCAGTAACGGTGAAGGGCTAGACAATTACACTGGCTGCTGCTTAGTGTACTTGTCTTGTGCGCCTAGCCTGCTTGGCTAAGCGGGCTAGGCGCACCTCCCAAAGCCTGATTGCTTTAGGAGGTGTGTTCGCCTCTAGTACACCTACCCAAGAACTCTGGGCCTGCTGCTGGGTTAGGCCCTGACTCTTATCTCAACGACTACGAAGCCTCCTCTCCAGACCACTCTCCCGTCTGTCCCACACTTCCCGCTCTCTCTTTACCTCTACAATCCATTCATTCACTCAGGCCAGCGGGGCGGTGGGCCGCGGGACGCACCTGCACGTTCCTGAGAACGTCTTCAATGTGTGAGCGCTGGGCCTGGATGGTCTGGTCTCGCTGGTGCATCTGCTTCCGCAGCTCTGTGATGACGCCCTCTCGCTGCTCCAACAGCCTCGTCAGCTCCATCTGCAGCAGGGGAGGGCAAGCTCTCAGCCAGGCCATAATGCCCATCACCCAATAACACAATATAAAAGACACACAACATGTCACACAAAAGTTATAAAAGTCACAAAACAGGAATATAAAAGCAGTTGTTATACAATAACACAAACATGAACTAAATTTATTGGTATTGTATTAAAAAGATTATTGCAAATAAAAATGTGTATTTTTTTTCCAAGAGCTTTTCAAATCAGTAGGGACAACTTTATCTTTGAAACTGGGGAAGGCTAGGGAGGCATGACACAATAGGGAGGGCTAGGGAGGCATCACACAATAGGGAGGGCTAGGGAGGCATCACACAATAGGGAGGGCTAGGGAGGCATCACACAATAGGGAGGGCTAGGGAGGCATCACACAATAGGGAGGGCTAGGGAGGCATCACACAATAGGGAGGGCTAGGGTGGCATCACACTATAGGGAGGGCTAGGGAGGCATCGCACAATAGGGAGGGCTAGGGAGGCATCACACAATAGAGAGGGCTAGGGAGGCATCACACAATAGGGAGGGCTAGGGTGGCATCACACTATAGGGAGGGCTAGGGTGGCATGACACAATAGGGAGGGGCTAGGGAGGCATCACACAATAGGGAAGGCTAGGGTGGCATCACACAATAGGGAGGGCTAGGGAGGCATCACACAATAGGGAGGGTTAGGGTGGCATCACACAATAGGGAGGGGCTAGGGAGGCATCACACAATAGGGAGGACTAGGGAGGCATCACACAATAGGGAGGGCTAGGGTGGCATCACACAATAGGGAGGGCTAGGGTGGCATCACAATAGGGAGGGCTAGGGAGGCATCACACAATAGGGAGGGTTAGGGTGGCATCACACAATAGGGAGGGCTAGGGTGGCATCACACAATAGGGAGGGTTAGGGTGGCATCACACAATAGGGAGGGCTAGGGTGGCATCACACAATAGGGAGGGGCTAGGGAGGCATGACACAATAGGGAGGGCTAGGGTGGCATCACACAATAGGGAGGGTTAGGGTGGCATCACACAATAGGGAGGGCTAGGGTGGCATCACACAATAGGGAGGGCTAGGGTGGCATCACACAATAGGGAGGGCTAGGGTGGCATCACACAATAGGGAGGGCTAGGGAGGCATCACACAATAGGGAGGGTTAGGGTGGCATCACACAATAGGGAGGGCTAGGGTGGCATCACACAATAGGGAGGGTTAGGGTGGCATCACACAATAGGGAGGGGCTAGGGAGGCATCACACAATAGGGAGGGGCTAGGGAGGCATGACACAATAGGGAGGGTTAGGGTGGCATCACACAATAGGGAGGGTTAGGGTGGCATCACACAATAGGGAGGGCTAGGGTGGCATCACACAATAGGGAGGGCTAGGGAGGCATCACACAATAGGGAGGGGCTAGGGAGGCATGACACAATAGGGAGGGCTAGGGTGGCATCACACAATAGGGAGGGCTAGGGTGGCATCACACAATAGGGAGGGGCTAGGGAGGCATCACACAATAGGGAGGGGCTAGGGAGGCATGACACAATAGGGAGGGCTAGGGTGGCATCACACAATAGGGAGGGCTAGGGTGGCATCACACAATAGGGAGGGGCTAGGGAGGCATCACACAATAGGGAGGGGCTAGGGAGGCATGACACAATAGGGAGGGCTAGGGAGGCATCACACAATAGGGAGGGCTAGGGAGGCATGACACAATAGGGAGGGCTAGGGAGGCATCACACAATAGGGAGGGGCTAGGGAGGCATGACACAATAGGGAGGGCTAGGGAGGCATCACACAATAGGGAGGGCTAGGGAGGCATGACACAATAGGGAGGGTTAGGGTGGCATCACACAATAGGGAGGGCTAGGGAGGCATCACACAATATAGAGGGCTAGGGAGGCATCACACAATAGGGAGGGCTAGGGAGGCATCACACAATAGGGAGGGCTAGGGTGGCATCACACAATAGGGAGGGTTAGGGTGGCATCACACAATAGGGAGGGGCTAGGGAGGCATCACACAATAGGGAGGGGATAGGGAGGCATGACACAATAGGGAGGGCTAGGGTGGCATCACACAATAGGGAGGGCTAGGGAGGCATGACACAATAGGGAGGGCTAGGGAGGCATCACACAATAGGGAGGGGCTAGGGAGGCATGACACAATAGGGAGGGCTAGGGAGGCATCACACAATAGGGAGGGCTAGGGAGGCATGACACAATAGGGAGGGTTAGGGTGGCATCACACAATAGGGAGGGCTAGGGAGGCATGACACAATAGGGAGGGTTAGGGTGGCATCACACAATAGGGAGGGTTAGGGTGGCATCACACAATAGGGAGGGTTAGGGTGGCATCACACAATAGGGAGGGCTAGGGAGGCATGACACAATAGGGAGGACTAGGGTGGCATCACACAATAGGGAGGGCTAGGGTGGCATCACACAATAGGGAGGGTTAGGGTGGCATCACACAATAGGGAGGGGCTAGGGAGGCATCACACAATAGGGAGGGTTAGGGTGGCATCACACAATAGGGAGGGCTAGGGTGGCATCACACAATAGGGAGGGTTAGGGTGGCATCACACAATAGGGAGGGTTAGGGTGGCATCACACAATAGGGAGGGTTAGGGTGGCATCACACAATAGGGAGGGTTAGGGTGGCATCACACAATAGGGAGGGTTAGGGAGGCATCACACAATAGGGAGGGCTAGGGTGGCATCACACAATAGGGAGGGTTAGGGTGGCATCACACAATAGGGAGGGGCTAGGGAGGCATCACACAATAGGGAGGGTTAGGGTGGCATCACACAATAGGGAGGGTTAGGGAGGCATCACACAATAGGGAGGGGCTAGGGAGGCATCATACCGTACCTTGAGGTTACCTTGAGGTGCTTCCGGGGCTTAGTGTCCCCGCGGCCCGGTCGTTGACCAGGCCTCCTGGTTGCTGGACAGATCAACCAGGCTGTTAGACGCGGCTGCTCGCAGCCTGACGTATGAGTCACAGCCTGGTTGATCAGGTATCCTTTGGAGGTGCTTATCCAGTTCTCTCTTAAACACTGTGAGGGGTCGGCCAGTTATGCCCCTTATGTGTAGCGGAAGCGTGTTGAACAGTTTCGGGCCTCTGATGTTGATAAGAGTTCTCTCTCAGAGTACCAGTTGCACCTCTGCTTTTTAACGGGGGTATTCTGCACATCCTGCCATGTCTTCTGGTCTCATGTGATGTTATTTCTGTGTGCAGGTTTGGGACCAGCCCCTCAGTTATTTTCCACGTGTAAATTATTATGTATCTCTCCCGCCTGCGCTCAAGGGAGTACAGATTTAGGCACTTTAGTCGGTCCCAGTAATTTAGATGTTTTACTGAGTGGATTCTAGCAGTAAAGGATCTCTGCACGCTCTCCAGGTCAGCAATTTTTCCAGCTTTGAAAGGGGCTGTCATTGTGCAGCAGTACTCCACTCTAGAGAGCACAAGCGTTTTAAAAAGTATCATCATGGGTATAGCATTTCTATTGTGCAAAGTTCTTGTTATCCAACCTGTCATTTTTCTTGCAGTTGTGACGGCTACTTTATTGTGTTCTTTAAAGGTAAGGTCTTCCGACATGAGTACACCCAGATCCTTTACATTGCCTTTTCGTTCTATGTTATGATTTGCCTGCGTTTTGTACGTGGTTTCTGTTTTTATGTTTTCAATTTTTCCGTAGCGCATGAGCTGGAACTTATCCTCGTTAAACACCATATTATTTTCAGTAGCCCATAGAAAGACCTGATCTACATCTGACTGGAGGTTTGCCGTGTCCTCTATGTTGCCAACAATCATGAAAATCCTAGTGTCATCTGCAAAGGATGATACAGTGCTATAGGTTGTGTTCTTGTCTGTCAGATATGAGGATGAGAAAAAGTACTGGAGCAAGCACAGTACCCTGGGGGACTGAGCTCTTCACGGTTGATGGGCTGGATTTTATTTTGTTGACTATTACACATTGGGTTCTGTTAGTCAGGAAATTGTAGATCCATCTGCCTATTTTCCCGGTAATTCCTTTTGAACGCATTTTATGTGCAATAACACCATGGTCACATTTATCAAAAGCTTTTGCGAAATCTGTGTAAATTACATCAGCGTTTTGTTTGTCTTCCATAGCATCTAATGCCATATCATAGTGGTCCAGCAACTGCGACAGGCAAGAGCGCCCTGTTCTGAAACCATGTTGTCCGGGGTTATGGAGATGCTGTGATTCCATGTATTTTGTGATCTTACTTCTTAGCACTCTCAAAATTTTTTATGATGTGCGATGTTAGTGCTATCGGTCTGTAATTTTTTGCCTCTGCCTTATTTCCTCCTTTATGGAGTGGTGCTTTCTCTGCTGTTTTTAGTATGTCAGGGATAACGCCAGTATCTAGGCTTTGTCTCCACAGAACGTGGAGGGCCTGCGATAGTGGTTTTTTACAGTTCTTGATGAATATGGAGTTCCAAGAATCCGGGCCTGGTGCAGAGTGCATAGGCATACTGTTTATGGCTTCTTCAAAATCTAGTGGGGATAGGGTGACGTCTGATATATGATTTGATGTTGGTATCATATCCATGAAAAATTCATTTTGGGTTATCAATCTTTAGTGCATTTAATGACTCGCTGAAAACAGTCGTACTGCTTCCTCAGTAACTCGCCCATTTCTTTGTTGTCATCGGTGAAAGTTACATCATACAACATAGTTGAAAATAGCAATATTATATGGAGAACAAAAGGCATAATATTTGCATATAGCTAGTAACGAGCACTTCCTGGATGGCAACAGAAACACAAAACCCCTCCAGGAGAGGTAACGAGGCTGGCAGGCCTGGTAACCCCTCCAGGAGAGGTAACGAGGCTGGCAGGCCTGGTAACCCCTCCAGGAGAGGTAACGAGGCTGGCAGGCCTGGTAACCCCTCCAGGAGAGGTAACGAGGCTGGCAGGCCTGGTAACCCCTCCAGGAGAGGTAACGAGGCTGGCAGGCCTGGTAACCCCTCCAGGAGAGGTAACGAGGCTGGCAGGCCTGGTAACCCCTCCAGGAGAGGTAACGAGGCTGGCAGGCCTGGTAACCCCTCCAGGAGAGGTAACGAGGCTGGCAGGTCTGGTAACCCCTCCAGGAGAGGTAACGAGGCTGGCAGGCCTGGTAACCCCTTCAGGAGAGGTAACGAGGCTGGCAGGCCTGGTAACCCCTCCAGGTGAGGTAACGAGGCTGGCAGGCCTGGTAACCCCTCCAGGTGAGGTAACGAGGCTGGCAGGCCTGGTAACCCCTCCAGGTGAGGTAACGAGGCTGGCAGGCCTGGTAACCCCTCCAGGTGAGGTAACGAGGCTGGCAGGCCTGGTAACCCCTCCAGGAGAGGTACGTAACGAGGCTGGCAGGCCTGGTAACCCCTCCAGGAGAGGTAACGAGGCTGGCAGGCCTGGTAACCCCTCCAGGAGAGGTAACGAGGCTGGCAGGCCTGGTAACCCCTCCAGGAGAGGTAACGAGGCTGGCAGGCCTGGTAACCCCTCCAGGAGAGGTAACGAGGCTGGCAGGCCTGGTAACCCCTCCAGGAGAGGTAACGAGGCTGGCAGGCCTGGTAACCCCTCCAGGAGAGGTAACGAGGCTGGCAGGCCTGGTAACCCCTCCAGGTGAGGTAACGAGGCTGGCAGGCCTGGTAACCCCTCCAGGTGAGGTAACGAGGCTGGCAGGCCTGGTAACCCCTCCAGGTGAGGTAACGAGGCTGGCAGGCCTGGTAACCCCTCCAGGTGAGGTAACGAGGCTGGCAGGCCTGGTAACCCCTCCAGGAGAGGTAACGAGGCTGGCAGGCCTGGTAACCCCTCCAGGAGAGGTAACGAGGCTGGCAGGCCTGGTAACCCCTCCAGGAGAGGTAACGAGGCTGGCAGGCCTGGTAACCCCTCCAGGAGAGGTAACGAGGCTGGCAGGCCTGGTAACCCCTCCAGGAGAGGTAACGAGGCTGGCAGGCCTGGTAACCCCTCCAGGAGAGGTAACGAGGCTGGCAGGCCTGGTAACCCCTCCAGGAGAGGTAACGAGGCTGGCAGGCCTGGTAACCCCTCCAGGAGAGGTAACGAGGCTGGCAGGCCTGGTAACCCCTCCAGGAGAGGTAACGAGGCTGGCAGGTCTGGTAACCCCTCCAGGAGAGGTAACGAGGCTGGCAGGCCTGGTAACCCCTCCAGGAGAGGTAACGAGGCTGGCAGGCCTGGTAACCCCTCCAGGTGAGGTAACGAGGCTGGCAGGCCTGGTAACCCCTCCAGGAGAGGTAACGAGGCTGGCAGGCCTGGTAACCCCTCCAGGAGAGGTAACGAGGCTGGCAGGCCTGGTAACTCCTCCAGGAGAGGTAACGAGGCTGGCAGGCCTGGTAACCCCTCCAGGAGAGGTAACGAGGCTGGCAGGCCTGGTAACCCCTCCAGGAGAGGTAACGAGGCTGGCAGGCCTGGTAACCCCTCCAGGAGAGGTAACGAGGCTGGCAGGTCTGGTAACCCCTCCAGGAGAGGTAACGAGGCTGGCAGGCCTGGTAACCCCTCCAGGAGAGGTAACGAGGCTGGCAGGCCTGGTAACCCCTCCAGGAGAGGTAACGAGGCTGGCAGGTCTGGTAACCCCTCCAGGAGAGGTAACGAGGCTGGCAGGCCTGGTAACCCCTCCAGGAGAGGTAACGAGGGTGGCAGGCCTGGTAACCCCTCCAGGAGAGGTAACGAGGCTGGCAGGCCTGGTAACCCCTCCAGGAGAGGTAACGAGGCTGGCAGGCCTGGTAACCCCTCCAGGAGAGGTAACGAGGCTGGCAGGCCTAGTAACCCCTCCAGGAGAGGTAACGAGGGTGGCAGGCCTGGTGTTGGTAAGGTCCCACACCCCCGTGGTCACTGTACCTTCTCGGCCTGGAGGGCCTGGCGGGCCAGGGAGAGGTGCAGCAGCTCCTGCTTGACGGAGGCGGTGGTGGCCTCCACCAGGTCGGCGGCGCGAGGTCCCGGGCCCCCGAGCCTCGCCTCCTGCACCTCCTGCACATATACACCACACTATAATCCAGCCACTCGCCACCGTATTACAATTATGGTAAATGACATTTTTTGTTGTTAACAAATTTTAATGTTTTAAATTGAGGTGTCCGAGGCCTCTTCTGTCATCTATTAGTTAAGTGAATCAGTTTTATCCTCAAATATTATTAAATATTTATTTTAAGAAATTCAAATAGCATTTCTCATACTAAATTATTTAACCAGAAATTTTCTGCAATGTATAAACATTTGTTGACAATTGATGAGGATAGAAACAATAAAAATATTTCTTCTACAGTAACATGAGAATAAATGCAGATATCCAAACTAAGCACATGGGACTCAATAACAAGGCCTTATATACTCATGTGGTTATCCTATATGATCCACGCTCCAGGGTGTGTGTTGGAGCACACCATGCAACACGCTCCAGGGTGTGTGTGTGTTGGAGCACACCATGCAACACGCTCCAGGGTGTGTGTGTGTGTTGGAGCACACCATGCAACACGCTCCAGGGTGTGTGTGTTGGAGCACACCATGCAACACGCTCCAGGGTGTGTGTGTGTTGGAGCACACCATGCAACACGCTCCAGGGTGTGTGTGTGTTAGAGCACACCATGCAACACGCTCCAGGGTGTGTGTGTTGGAGCACACCATGCAACACGCTCCAGGGTGTGTGTGTGTTGGAGCACACCATGCAACACGCTCCAGGGTGTGTGTGTGTTGGAGCACACCATGCAACACGCTCCAGGGTGTGTGTGTGTTGGAGCACACCATGCAACACGCTCCAGGGTGTGTGTGTGTTGGAGCACACCATGCAACACGCTCCAGGGTGTGTGTGTGTTGGAGCACACCATGCAACACGCTCCAGGGTGTGTGTGTGTGTGTTGGAGCACACCATGCAACACGCTCCAGGGTGTGTGTGTGTTGGGGCACACCATGCAACACGCTCCAGGGTGTGTGTGTGTTGGAGCACACCATGCAACACGCTCCAGGGTGTGTGTGTGTGTTGGAGCACACCATGCAACACGCTCCAGGGTGTGTGTGTGTTGGAGCACACCATGCAACACGCTCCAGGGTGTGTGTGTGTTGGAGCACACCATGCAACACGCTCCAGGGTGTGTGTTGGAGCACACCATGCAACACGCTCCAGGGTGTGTGTGTGTTGGAGCACACCATGCAACACGCTCCAGGGTGTGTGTGTGTGTGTTGGAGCACACCATGCAACACGCTCCAGGGTGTGTGTGTGTTGGGGCACACCATGCAACACGCTCCAGGGTGTGTGTGTGTTGGAGCACACCATGCAACACGCTCCAGGGTGTGTGTGTGTGTTGGAGCACACCATGCAACACGCTCCAGGGTGTGTGTGTGTTGGAGCACACCATGCAACACGCTCAGGGTGTGTGTGTGTTGGAGCACACCATGCAACACGCTCCAGGGTGTGTGTGTGTTGGAGCACACCATGCAACACGCTCCAGGGTGTGTTGGAGGAGCACACCATGCAACACGCTCCAGGGTGTGTGTGTGTTGGAGCACACCATGCAACACGCTCCAGGGTGTGTGTGTGTTGGAGCACACCATGCAACACGCTCCAGGGTGTGTGTTGGAGCACACCATGCAACACACTCCAGGGTGTGTGTGTGTTGGAGCACACCATGCAACACGCTCCAGGGTGTGTGTGTGTTGGAGCACACCATGCAACACGCTCCAGGGTGTGTGTGTGTTGGAGCACACCATGCAACACGCTCCAGGGTGTGTGTGTGTTGGAGCACACCATGCAACACGCTCCAGGGTGTGTGTGTTGGAGCACACCATGCAACACGCTCCAGGGTGTGTGTGTTGGGGCACACCATGCAACACGCTCCAGGGTGTGTGTGTGTTGGAGCACACCATGCAACACGCTCCAGGGTGTGTGTGTGATGGAGCACACCATGCAACACGCTCCAGGGTGTGTGTGTGTTGGAGCACACCATGCAACACGCTCCAGGGTGTGTGTGTGTTGGAGCACACCATGCAACACGCTCCAGGGTGTGTGTTGGGGCACACCATGCAACACACTCCAGGGTGTGTGTGTGTTGGAGCACACCATGCAACACGCTCCAGGGTGTGTGTGTTGGGGCACACCATGCAACACGCTCCAGGGTGTGTGTGTTGTGACACACCATGCAACACCCTCCAGGGTGTGTGTGTGTTGTGGCACACCATGCAACACGCTCCAGGGTGTGTGTGTTGGGGCACACCATGCAACACCCTCCAGGGTGTGTGTGTGTTGTGGCACACCATGCAACACCCTCCAGGGTGTGTGTGTGTTGGAGCACACCATGCAACACGCTCCAGGATGTGTGTTGGGGCACACCATGCAACACGCTCCAGGGTGTGTGTGTTGGGGCACACCATGCAACACGCTCCAGGGTGTGTGTTGGGGCACACCATGCAACACGCTCCAGGGTGTGTGTGTGTTGGAGCACACCATGCAACACGCTCCAGGGTGTGTGTTGGGGCACACCATGCAACACACTCCAGGGTGTGTGTGTGTTGGAGCACACCATGCAACACGCTCCAGGGTGTGTGTGTTGGGGCACACCATGCAACACGCTCCAGGGTGTGTGTGTTGTGACACACCATGCAACACCCTCCAGGGTGTGTGTGTGTTGGAGCACACCATGCAACACGCTCCAGGGTGTGTGTTGGGGCACACCATGCAACACGCTCCAGGGTGTGTGTGTTGGGGCACACCATGCAACACGCTCCAGGGTGTGTGTTGGGGCACACCATGCAACACGCTCCAGGGTGTGTGTGTGTGTTGGAGCACACCATGCAACACGCTCCAGGGTGTGTGTTGGGGCACACCATGCAACACGCTCCAGGGTGTGTGTGTGTTGGAGCACACCATGCAACTCGCTCCCGGGTGTGTGTGTGTGTTGGAGCACACCATGCAACACGCTCCAGGGTGTGTGTTGGGGCACACCATGCAACACGCTCCAGGGTGTGTGTGTGTTGGGGCACACCATGCAACACGCTCCAGGGTGTGTGTGTGTTGGGACACACCATGCAACACGCTCCAGGGTGTGTGTGTGTTGGGGCACACCATGCAACACGCTCCAGGGTGTGTGTGTGTGTTGGGGCACACCATGCAACACGCTCCAGGGTGTGTGTGTGTGTGTGTTGGGGCACACCATGCAACACGCTCCAGGGTGTGTGTGTGTGTGTGTTGGGGCACACCATGCAACACGCTCCAGGGTGTGTGTGTGTTGGGGCACACAATGCAACACGCTCCAGGGTGTGTGTGTGTGTGTGTTGGGGCACACCATGCAACACGCTCGAGGGTGTGTGTGTGTGTGTGTTGGGGCACACCATGCAACACGCTCCAGGGTGTGTGTGTGTGTTGGGGCACACCATGCAACACGCTCCAGGGTGTGTGTGTGTGTTGGGGCACACCATGCAACACGCTCCAGGGTGTGTGTGTGTTGGAGCACACCATGCAACACGCTCCAGGGTGTGTGTTGGGGCACACCATGCAACACGCTCCAGGGTGTGTGTTGGGGCACACCATGCAACACGCTCCAGGGTGTGTGTGTGTTGTGGCACACCATGCAACACGCTCCAGGGTGTGTGTTGGGGCACACCATGCAACACGCTCCAGGGTGTGTGTGTGTTGGGGCACACCATGCAACACGCTCCAGGGTGTGTGTGTGTTGGAGCATACCATGCAACACGCTCCAGGGTGTGTGTTGGGGCACACCATGCAACACGCTCCAGGGTGTGTGTGTGTTGGGGCACACCATGCAACACGCTCCAGGGTGTGTGTGTGTTGGGGCACACCATGCAACACGCTCCAGGGTGTGTGTGTGTTGGGGCACACCATGCAACACGCTCCAGGGTGTGTGTTGCACACCATGCAACACGCTCCAGGGTGTGTGTGTGTTGGGGCACACCATGCAACACGCTCCAGGGTGTGTGTGTGTTGGGGCACACCATGCAACACGCTCCAGGGTGTGTGTGTGTTGGGAGCACACCATGCAACACGCTCCAGTGTGTGTGTGTGTGTGTGATGGAGCACACCATGCAACACGCTCCAGTGTGTGTGTGTGTGTTGGAGCACACCATGCAACACGCTCCAGGGTGTGTGTGTGTGTTGGAGCACACCATGCAACACGCTCCAGGGTGTGTGCGTGTTGGAGCACACCATGCAACACGCTCCAGGGTGTGTGTGTTGGAGCACACCATGCAACACGCTCCAGTGTGTGTGTGTGTGTGTGTGTGTGTTGGAGCACACCATGCAACACGCTCCAGGGTGTGTGTGTGTTGGAGCACACCATGCAACACGCTCCAGGGTGTGTGTGTGTGTTGGAGCACACCATGCAACACGCTCCAGGGTGTGTGTGTGTGCAACACGCTGGGTGTGTGTGTGTTGCACACCATGCAACACGCTCCAGGGTGTGTGTGTGTGTGGAGCACACCATGGGGCACACCATGCAACACGCTCCAGGGTGTGTGTGTGTGTTGGGACACACCATGCAACACGCTCCAGGATGTGTGTGTTGGGGCACACCATGCAACACGCTCCAGGGTGTGTGTGTGTGTGTTGGAGCACACCATGCAACACGCTCCAGGGTGTGTGTGTGTTGGGGCACACCATGTAACACGCTCCAGGGTGTGTGTGTGTGTTGGAGTACACCATGCAACACCCTCCAGGGTGTGTGTGTGTTGGGGCACACCATGCAACACCCTCCAGGGTGTGTGTGTGTGTTGTGGCACACCATGCAACACCCTCCAGGGTGTGTGTGTGTTGGAGCACACCATGCAACACCCTCCAGGGTGTGTGTGTGTTGTGGCACACCATGCAACACCCTCCAGGGTGTGTGTGTGTGTTGTGGCACACCATGCAACACCCTCCAGGGTGTGTGTGTGTTGTGGCACACCATGCAACACCCTCCAGGGTGTGTGTGTGTTGGAGCACACCATGCAACACGCTCCAGGGTGTGTGTTGGAGCACACCATGC